CTAGGAACATTGAGGTAAGCAGACGGGTGAAGTCCATACTCATGGAACTTGTATGGTGGAAGGAGAAACTGCTGGCAACACGTAAGTAAAGAAATACATAATTTGCCAGGTGGAGGTTAGTGAAGGGGAGTGGGGCGAGAAGGATCTTGGAGGTGAAGATGTTTGAACGGAGACCTGAGTCTCTGTGCAGTTTGTGCAAAGGTCCTGGGGGCAGGGATACCTGTGTGTTCAGGGAGGAGCAAGAGGTCCGTGTGACTTGACTAAAGCAGAACGAATGAGGGAAGAGATGAGCTGTCAGAGGGGACAAGCAGCCAGATCATGATGGGCTGTAGAGTTGGCTAGGTCTTTGGATTCTGGAGTGAGATGGAAACCACATAGATATGGAGCAAAGATTGACACGAGCAAATATATGCTTTGAAAGGCTTACTCTGGCTACTGGAGGAGGGTAGCCTGGAGTGGGGGAAAGAGTGGAAGCAGGAAGCCTAATTAGGAGACAACACTCACTAAAAGAGAGATGGTGAGATCTCGTAGGTCGTGGCTGGGATTTTGGGAAGGGGTCAGATTAGAGATACTTTTAATAGAGTTTAGATACTTTATTATGAGAGCACAAGTCAGGGACCCCCTGACGGAGCTGGACTGTTGGCAGGAAAGGGTTGCTGGAGGTTTGATGACAGAGCTGAATCTTAAGAGGGGGAATTGGTCCAGATGGGAAATGGGAGATGGGAGAGGATGGCAAGCCTGAGGTGCATACTTCACAGGTCACGGGGCTGGGAGCAGTGTAGCCAAGCCAGCGCATCACCTGGTGGCAGGGGTAGTGTAGATTTGGGACTGGAAAGGATGTCGGGGCTGATGCCAACGGTGGGAAGCTATGAAGTTGAAGGGTTTGGGTTTTGTTCTGTGGGCAGAGGGCTGCAGGTCTGATGGAGATTCAATTCAATTCGTGCTGGAGATACAGCACTCTGGCTATAGAAAAGGGGAAGCAGCATGAAGTGGGGGGTGGTGAAGGGGGAAGGAGGAGGACAGAGGAGCATGGCCTGGGCCACAGGAGCTGTGATAGGGCTTGAAAAACTGTTTAGAAAGGAAAGTCAGGGCCTCCCCGGTGGTGCAGCGGTTGAGCGCTGGGTTGTGAAGCTGCCCGCAGCCTTGGCAGCGCTGGTTCGATCCCCGGCTGCTCCCCGGCCACCAGAGGAGGGTCCCACATGGCGCGCAGACCTCTCCTGCCGCCCGCTGCTCCCCTCAGCAGTGTACTTCGGTCCTTCTGCCTGCTCTGCCCCCTGCTCTGGCTCTGGTGAATTCTCTCACCCTCCTACGCTTCTGACTGTACCCAGTGATTGTATAAATAAATAAATAAATCTTAAAAAAAAAAAAAAGATAAAGCAGAAAGTAATTAAATGGAAATAAAATTTAAAAAAAAAAAAAAAAGAAAGGAAAGTCACTTGGGGGGCCCTCCCTGGTGGCGCAAAGGGTTAAGCATCCGCACTATGAAGCTATCCGCAGCCACTGCAGCATGAGCTTGATCCCCAGCCAGAGAGGTGAACCACAGGTGCAGCAGACCTCTCCTGACTTGCCCACTGCTCCCCTCAGCAGTGTATTTCAGTCAGTCTGCCTGTTCTGCTCCCCACTCTGTCTCTGGTGAATCCTCTTACACACCACACCTCTGGTTTGTACCCCAGTTCTTATATGCATAAATAAATAAATCTTTAAAAAAAAAAAAAAAGAAGGAAAGTCACTGGGATGTATAGTTGGTAGTTGGAGAAGAGAGATTAGAAAACAGGAATAAAGACTGACCTGTTCCGCTCCAGTGCCCTTAGCCTGAGGACAAGGGCAGGTCAGGGCTTCCTCATAGGATAAGGAGCTTGCATAGCTCACCCCGAGGTGCTGTTCTTCCAGATTACTGTGCAGACACCCAGAGCCCTGAAATTTTTGCTGTAAGAACCTACAACCTGCCTGCTGCCTGGTGCTGGCTTCAGGCTCCAGGGTGAAGCCTTTCTGTGCTTCAAGCTGAGTGCAAGGGCACATAAGCAATATGTGGCCTATAGATTGGGATGTTATTTGACAGCTGATCTTGACCCCTCACAATGAAAGTGAAGTTAGGGTTTGGAGGGAGAGGGAAGCAGGCTGGAAGCTGAGCTCGGGGAAGCACAGAGGCAGCTTTTCCCTGCACTGCCCTGTGCAAAACTCCAAGAAGCCCGAGAACTCTGAAGTTGAACCTGGTCTTCCCAATCTTTAGAAGGTATATGTGTCAGCATAGGAGAATAGAGCATTTTTTATTTAACAGTTTGTTAGCTTGATTTATAACTTTTAAATATTTAGACATATGGTATGTGGGCCTCCATTTGTACTTTTGCCAGACCCAAAACTCTCCAGGGTCATGTCATGTCTTCTTTGCTAGTTCACCTCCCACCCCCACCCGTGCCCTGGCTCCCCACCCTGAATCTCTGGGCCTTGGTAATTTCCATCCCTGGAAAAAGAATCCGATCCCAGCCTGAGAGTGGGAAATGTGCACTTGATGTGGACCCAGGGGGACAGCTTGGCTAGAATGCTACAGGGCAGAGAGAGGGGCACCCCAGGACTCCCAAATTGGCCCACTCTAAATAGGTTCTGCCATCTGCTGCATTAAGACAAATTACTCTAGTGCATAAGACCTTCAATGGAAAGGAACTTTAATACAAATAGTGTGCAATACAGAAAAAGGGGGAGAATGGGGAAGAATAAAGTTTCCAAATCAAGCACCTGAAGTTACCCATACCCTCGTGGGTAAATACCTAGCCAAATAGGTTGGCCCAAAGCAAGGCCCGAAAGCCTGCCATAAGTCTAAAGCTCCTTCTAGTGGGGACCCATAGGAAAGGGGCAAAAGGGGACCAGCATGTCTGCAAATAAAAGAGCAAAATTGGGGCCTCCTTTGGTGGTACAGGGATTAAAGACAGAGCTATCATACTGTGGGCCAGCCACTGCAGCATGCATTTGATCCCTAGCTGGCCAGAGAGCTAACCCACGTGGTGCAGCAGACCTCTCCTGACTCTCCCGCTGCTCCCCTCAGCAGTGTATTTCAGTCAGTCTGCCTGTTCAGTTCCCCACTCTCTCTGGTGAATCCTTTCACCCCAAGCCCCACCTCTGGCCTGGACCCCAGTTCTTATATGCATAAATAAATACATCTTTAAAAAAACAAAAGAGCAAAATCAAAATCAAGATGAAAGCTGCCACTGTTAACCTCCCCACGGGCTTCTCACCCACATCTGTTTCAATCAGTCCAAGACCAAAAAGCAAGTGCAGCTTCTTCACGTGTCTCTCTGCTCCATGTGCTCCTCCAGCTCTCCTGTGGCTCCCCATCCTTCTCCCTCCTTTCTCTAAGTCCCCTCTCCAGCTTCTTCTTCTCCCTGCTCAGCTCCACCCTCCCTTGGGTGGGGCAGGGAACCTGGAACCTCCCCTCCCCTGGGGACCACCCTGTTACAAGGCTGCTGGACTGCAGAGGCTTTCGGATAAAGTGACCTGGCAGGGGCAACAGAAAAAGCAGGCCCAGGATCCAGGGGTTAGAAGCAGAGACCCCAAGCAGAGAATGCAATGTTCAAAGTCAGCTCTGTCTTTAAGATGGCATGGCCTGCCAGGTGGCTTAGTCCCTCAGTGCTTTGGTCACAGTGCCTAATTACCCCCCACTCCTAGGGTATAGGGGGAGGATGCAGAGTGTCTGGCATTTAGTTAGGGGCTATAAAACATTTGTTATTACGATCACATAAAATGACCCCTTTGAGGCAACTTTTAAACCAAGCTAAGGGGCAGCTCCTGGCAAATCAAGGAAGGAGTTGAAGTTGGTTTTGATACTAGATCTTTCTCCTCCTGCTTTCAGGGTTCTCTGTGGGGAGGTGGAGGTTACTCAGGGATCAGGCTGTCCCTCCTCCTGATCCCCTCCAGGGGCCCTCTTCACCCAGGGCTGTCTGTTGTTTGGGGCACTCCCCTGTTTCCTGTCTCTTGGAGCAACCTGGCTGACATCCTCTCATTCCCTGGAAGCCTTGGGATGCACCCACTTGCACATTCCTGAGGTCCCTTTTCACCAGGAGATAGGAGTGGGGAGAACTTGCTGGAGATAGTGGGGAGCCCTGTGCTGAGTGCCTTATACATCCTTCCCATCCAGGCCTTTTAATGGTCCTCTGAGCACCATTCCAGATGCTGTCATCCTTGTTTGTGCATGGGGAGAGGAGAGCAGAGACAGGTTAAGTGATTTGCCCAGCAGGTAAGTTTTAGATCCAGGACTGGAGCAGCTTGCAGCTGCAGGGCTGTGCTCCACCTGCCCTGAGGAATTCAGCCTGGTTCAGTCCCATGTGTGACACTTCTGCCTCACCCTTTAGACCTGCAGGAGACAAGACCTGTAGCAAAGGTGCCTGGGTGGGGGTGGCAGGCATTTAGCAGACTGATGGTGGGTGATATTCCTGTTTGTCAGCAAGAGGAAGTTCTTTTGGTTTCCTTCAGATTATAGCTGAAGACCTCCAGGCAACAAATAAACCAACAAAGAAGACAACCTTCCCTTTTCTTTCTTTCTTTCTTTTTTTTTTTTTTAAATTTATTTTATTTATTTATGCATACAAGAATTAGGGCACAGGTCAGAGGTTTGGGTGGTGAGAGAATTCACCAGAGACAGAGTAGACAGATCTATTGAACAGGCAGATCTACTGAAATACACTGCTGAGGGGAGCAGCAGGTGAGACAGGAGAGATCTGCTACACCATGTGGGTAGCTCCCTGGCCAGGGATCAAACTCATGCTGCAGTGGCTGCAGATAGCTTGATAGCACTGTCTTTAACCCCTGCGCCACCAGGGAGGCCCAACCTCTTTTCAAGGGACAGGGGCTATGGGTGGAACTGGAAAGGAAGGTGCTTTGTGTGTTGGAAATTCTGAGAGAATCCTCTCTGGCAGTGGAGGTTTCAGAGCAGGGGATTCTTTGGTTGTTGTCCAGCTCAAAACCTTTATTTTGAATGATATCAAATTTACAGGAAATTGCAATGGTACAGAAGTATGGAATTCTTTGCGATGTTGTGTGTCTTTCTTGTGTTGGGGCCATGTTAATCTTTGTCTCTTTCCAATATTCATATTTGTGCTGCTGAAGTTTTCACTCAGGGCAGGGGATTCTGAGGCACAAGAGGCTGCTCTCACCTAGGGGAGGGGACAGCAAGATGTTGCCCCTTGGACTGATATTCAGGCCTTCATAGCATGTTCTCAACCTGCTCCAGTTCCCAGACACATACCTGGGCCCCACAGCATGTCTCTAGGGGGGCCATGGCGGCAAGTGGGTGACACAGGCTCCTTGGAAGGTTGCCTGTCCTGGGGAGCAAAGTCTTGTGAAATGACGTTCAGCTAATGCTGGTTTTCTGAGTGAAGACAGAAACCTGTGGTTCTTGCCCCTGTGGTTCTCGCCCTCGGGAGCTTACATTCTCACAGGAAGATGAACACGCACCGTGGGAGAGCCTCGTGTGGAAAGAGCACATGCAAAGCACATAGCAGGCTTCAGAGGGGGTGGTGTTCTTCCTGGCCTACCCTCTGACCCAGACCTGACGCCCTGTGTGACCTGGGGCAAGCTGTGTGCCCTCTCTGATACTGGCTTCTCATCCATAAAATGAAGTTAGGATTGATCACTGAGTTAAATCTTGTTTTTCCTCTTAACAATGGGACCTGCCATTCTAAGGAAACCCAACAAGGACTCTGCCACAAAAAATAGAGCCACTCTGCTTCGGGGGGTGGGGGATCCCATAGATAATTTCTAAGGGCAGCTCTAAATGAGTCTCATTGGCCTCCCTGGTGGCACGGGGTTAAAGACAGCGCTATCAAGCTATTGCCAGCCACTGCAACACAAGTTGGATCCCCAGATGGCCAGGGAGCAACCCACATGGCAAAGCAGACCTCTCCTGTCTCGCCTGCTGTTCCCCTCAGCGGTATATTTCAGTCAATCTGCCTGTTCTGCTCCACACTCTGTCTCTGGTGAATCCTCTCACTAACCCCCACCCCTGGACCTCTGGGTTATACCCCAGTTCTTGTATGCATAAATAAATACATCTAAAAATAAGTCTCATTGTAAGGCCTGAACCACATCAAGAAAGCTCAGAATGGCCTCCTGGAGGAAGTCAGGATGGACTTGAAAGCTCAGAGGATTTTGACGTGTGCAGGTGTGGAGAGAGTCCATCAGGCAGGTTGGGGATAGTGAGAAGAGATGCAGACACAGGAGTGGTTGAGGTCCATGCAGGCACAGAGCTGGCACAGCTGAGATGGAGGAGTCTTGTAGGAGACAATGTGGAAAGAACCCAAGAAAAGGGTACCCAGGGGATTTCTACAGAAACTTCATGGCAGCAGCAAGGTGCAAAGATGATTCTTGCTACTCCTAGGAGCCCGCCACTGTCCTGTCTTACAGAAGAAGGGTGGGTTAGACCCTGCTGTTGGGAGAGGGAAAGAACCAGCATCGAGGAAAGAGTAACAGCAACAGCACCCACTCTCAGGGGTTGTTCAGTGAACAGAGCTACAGCCTCAGAACCATGTCTGGCACATGAGGAATGCTGTGTAAGCCTTTGTGAAGAATGTTCAGGCCAGAGTAGACCCTAGGGTGGCCAAAGCTCTGGGCCCTTCCTGGCCTTTGGCCTTGCATGGTAGCAATGGCTTGCCATTTCACTGCTTCTATGCTCAACAATTATGGTGATAGCGACTTGTGTGCTGCTGCCTACACACACACACACACACACACACACAAATACACACACATATACACACACACACACGGCCCTCCCTTTCTCTGGTGCTGGTGCACTCCTGACCATCCTCACTCTCCAGAGTCGACCCCCCCATTTCCTTCCCCCTCCTGCCCCAAACCCACACCTTGCTCTCAGCCTCCCCTTTCCCCTCTCCCTGAGCCCCTGGACCTCCCACTCACCATAAATCTGTAACTCTGGAGTGTGTATGTTAGGGGGAGGGGGCTGTGGTGGAAAAGCAGCAAACCAAACCAACCCCAGCTAATGAAAACGGTGATAAATCTCTGTCTATCAGGTTTGTTGTGAGCACAAACATTGCCAAACAAGGGCCCAGATGGCCTGCAGGCCCTCCTCCCTATGGGCTGAAGAGCTTTAAATGGAAATGGCTGCTTTATGCACCTACTTGGAAATGGGGATGGCTGAGTCCAGGGGTGCTTGGCCATGAAACAGGAGGTAGGCCAGGTGGGGAGAAGTCTCCTCTGTTCCTGCTCTTGGGGGAACACAGCTCAGGATGAGACAGGTCAGGAGGGGGGAGAGGACAGGAAGAGGCCACTTTCCTCTCTGATATTCAGACCTTGATAGCTGGTTTTCAACCTGCTCCCATTCCCAGGGTTCCTCACCCCCACTCCAGAACTTTCCTTCTTTTCTACCTAGGCCAGTGGAAGCCTACCTAGTCCTTTAAGCCTAAATGAAACCCCACCTCCTCCAGAAAGTCTCCTCAACCAGAGTCCTCATAACCTCTCTGGGCTCCATTCCTACCTCACAGCCACTGGGGAGCCCAATGTGCTCCTGGGCTTGGGGTGGGGGGTGGAGGGGACACGTCTGGGTGCACAGCTGGGCTTTATCACTAAGCTGAGGGACCTAGGGCAGGTGCATCTGTCCACCTGCTTTCTCCTCTGTAAAATGGGCATAGTTGCGGTACCTGCCTCATGGGGCAGTTGGGAAGAGTTAAGTGACAAGTGTAGAATGCATTGAGTAAAATGAAGGCAGAGTCTAAGAGCTCCATCCATGTCTGCACTTCCTATTAGTCGTGACTGGGCAGCCTGCTTCCCTGGGCCCTAAATGAAACCCCTGGTGGGCGTGCATATCTGTGTGTGCATCATGCATGTTTGGGTTCCCCTGAAAACAGACTCTAAGAAAAGAACTTTGGTGCAAGAAGTTCATTTGGGAGATGGTCCTGGAAGTGGAGGGAGGGTTTGGAGAAAGGATGACAGGATAGGAAGGGAGGAAAGCCTAGGAGGGGTGACAGAGTTAAACTGTGGGCAGTGGGGGTTGGCAGAAGCACTGTAAGAACACATCAGAGAGTTGCCCCAGGAAATACAGACAGCCAGGGTATTAATGCACCCACTCCTGTCCCTCATTAGTTGAGGTGTGCCCCTGGGGCCATCTGTCCCTGGCACTTCCCAGCTGCCCTGTGGACTGGGTCAAGCTCCCATGGGCCTAGCACTGAAGAAACTGCAGGTTGAGAAGTAGAAATGTCATGTGGAGTGGACAATTCCCATTCCCAACCCCTTGCCCCCTTGCCATAACACCTGCACATGAACTAAGAGGGAGGCCTGGGGCTTTGGGGTGAGGCATCAATAGCATCCTCTATGGAATCCTTAATTTTATTTTTTTTTAGATTTATTCATTTATGAATACAAGAGCTGGGGTACAGGCTAGAGGTGCAGGTAGGGTGAGAGGATTCACCAGGGACAGAGTGGGGAACAGAACAGGTGGAGTGACTGAAACACACTGCTGAGGGGAGCAGTGGGAGAGTCAGGAGAGGTCTGCTGCGCCATGTGGGTCAGCTCCATGGCTGGCCTGCTGGGATTGAACTCATGCTGCAGTAGTTGCGGACAGCTTCATAGTACCCAAATGCCCAAAAATAGATGACTGGATCAAGAAGATGTGGTACATATACACCATGGAATATTACTCAGCATTCAAAAAAGACAAACACATGCAATTTGCAGCAACATGGATGGCGCTGGAAGGGATCATGCTCAGCGAAATAAGCCAGAAAGAAAAAGAAAAATACCGGATGGTCTCACTCATAGCAGGAATCTAGAAAACCTAAATAAATAAGGGACCAGGAAAATGAATAACTATAAGAAAGTGAAAATCAAAATCAATAAACAACTATGAACCAGAGACACTCTATGGGGGGTAGGGTCGGGGAGGGGAGGTACTGGGGTCAAAATAAGGGGGTTGCAATTGTATGGGGAATATAAAAATAAAATTTATTTAAAAACAAAACAAAACAAAACATAGTGCTGACGTTTAACCCCTTGCGCCACCAGGGAGGCCCAGAATCCTTCATTTTCTATCCCTACAGTTTCCAGCACAGAATCATGCACACAGTAGGCATATCATAATTAATTGTTAACCAAGAAGAGATTTGGGTTAATTGCTGGGAGAAACTAGCTTCTTCCACTGCTCAGTTTAATTTATTGTGATGCGGAGCAAGACATAGAGCCACTCTGGGCTTTATCTGCTGTTGGAAAATCAGGACATTGCACCTTCTCTGCTTATCCCATCGTCCTATCATAAGTTGGAATGGTCTTTGGGGATGGGGTGCTCAGAACATGGAAGATACGGCTTGAAATGATGTTGGGCCCCAGGTGGCGGGGTAGGGTGGGGGGGGGGCGGGGTGGTTCCCTATCCAGGTATATCCAAGCTTGAGGTGCCAGTGACACATGATTCATACATGCTTTGTGGTCAAAGCACAAAGGCGTGTTCTCCAGGCCCCGCTGGGATGCCTCCTGCCTTTTCCTATCATGTGACAACTTCAGAGGTCTGATCAAGAAAGAAAAGGCCAAATGCATTTGTATTGCGGACACTTTAGTAGAAAGAATCCTAGAGGGAATCAAAGGATTCCAAAAAAGGATTCTTTCTTTCTAGGTCAGCAGTGGAGTTTGCAATGATGGGTGATTGTAGAAATGGTTAGTGCAGAAATTCTTAACTTGGGGATTTTGGGTTCCCTAGGATGCCCATACATGAGCTTTGGGAGTCTCTATATCTTGAATATAAATGCAAAACTGAGTGTGTAGTATATGCAAGGTGTATGTATGTGAACTGCTCTAAGTTTGTGACCAGGAGCTTCCAGTAAATTCTCAAAAGGGTCTGTAACCAGGCGCCCCCCACCCCCAATTGATTTGCTCTACCCCAAATTTCCCAACTCAAAGGGGAAATACTGAGGCCAAGAGAGGAGATGTGAACTACTGGGGCAAATCTTAGGAGCTAGATGAAACCTAAGGCCCTAACCTGCAACCCTGCATGGTTAGTTGGTTACGTGGTCAGTTGGGTCTGCACAACCAGTAAAGCAGGCTTGGCAGCCCTGGGGGGGTGTGCGCTCCAGTGCAGAGCACCTCTTCTTGCTGGCAGAGAACACTTTCAAG